GGAGGACGAGGAGGAGGAGGAGGTGGAGGAGGACGAGGGACCAGGAGGAGGAGGAGGAGGAGGAGGAGGAGGAGGAGAGAGGAGGGAGGAGGGCTGAAGAGGAGCAGAAGGAGGACCAGTGCAAACCCAAGGCTCATCAGCGATGTTTGAATACACCCTCCCTCCAAATTCACTCCTCATAGGCCCCGGTAATAGAAGGGCTCTTTTCCACTGCGTGAAATGCCCCCTTGGGGGACAACCGTGCGAAAATCTAGAAGCGTGCCAAAACACCGTTAACAGGACTTCAACACTGCGAATCAACATAGTAATTGCGCCTTGACAATCCAAGCAATCCAGAATTGCTCCAAATCCGTGAAGTTCTTGCAAATGTTTGGAAACCGTATACGCGGCGCTAAGAAGATAACCACATATTGACCAGGAACCGCCCTTAATCCGTCAAGTTCTTGCCAATGTTTGAAGCGAATGTGCGTGGCGCTAAGGCGAGAGCCACATGCTGAAAAGGAGCCCGCTCTCAATCCGCGAAGCTCGTGCAAGTTTTTGACCCGCGGCGAGAAGGCGAGAGCCACACTTTGAGAACGATCCGCCCTCACTCCTCCTCCTCCTCCTCCTCCTCCTCCTCCTCCTCCTCCCCCCCCTCCTCCTCCTCCTCCTCCTCCTCCTCCTCCTCTTCCCCCCCCTCCTCCTCCTCCTCCTCCTCCTCCTCCTCCTCCTCCTCCTCCTCCTCCTCCTCCTCCTCCTCCTCCTCCTCCTCCTCCTCCTCCGCCTCCCCCTTCTCCTGCTCCCAGCGACGCCTCGGACCAAGACCTTGGGTCCGCGGCGCTGCTGCAGGGGAGCAGGAGCGGGATCGCTCGAGGAAAGCGGCTCGTGCACTTGTTGAAAGCGAATGTGACTGTGCGCGGCGCTCAGGCGAGAGCCACACTTTGGAAACGACCCGCCCTCAATCCACAACTGTTTTGCAATGTGTTGAAACGAGTGTGCGCGGCGCCGAGGCGAGAGCCACATGTTGGAAGCAATCCGCCTTCCATCTGTGAAGCTGTTGTCAGTGTTTAAGCTGAGGCTCGTACAATGTACACGCCCGGCCCGCCCTTCCGACTGGCCTCGGGGCGGCGTGAGAGGGAGGAGTTATTCACAAGGAAAATGAATAGAGGAGGAAAAGGAGGGAGAAGGCGGAGGGAGGAGGAGGAGGAGGAGGAGAGGAGGGAGGAAGGAGACGGAGGAGGAGGAGGAGGAGGAGGAGGAGGAGAGGAGGACGAGAGGGGGGGTAGAAGGGGGAGGGACGAGAATGAGAAGGAGGAGGAGGGAGGGAGGAGGAGGGAGGAGGAGGAGGATGAGGGAGGATGATGGCCTAGAGGCGGGGGAGCAGAAGGGGGGAGGAGATGAGGAGGGAGAGGAGAGGAGGAGGAGGAGAGGAGGAGAGGAGGAGGAAGGACGAGAGAGGAGGAGGAAGAGGAGGAGGAGGAGGAGGAGAGGGGAGGCAGGAGGAGGAGAGGAGGAGGAAGGATGAGGAGTGAGAGGAGGAGGAGGAGAGGAAGCGGACGTGGAGAGAGGATCGTGACTAGAAGGAGGAGCAGGAGGAGGAGGATGAGGAGAGAAAGCAGGAGGGGAGGAGGAGGAGGAGAGGAGTAGGACGAGGATGTAGAGGAGGAGAGGAGGAGGAGGAGGAGGAGGAGGAGGAGGATGAGGAGGGGAGGGGGGAGAAGGGGGGGAGGAGAAATGAGGAGGGTGGAGAGATAGAAAGGAGGGGGCGGGAGAGGAGGGGGAGGGGCCTAAGAGAGGGAAAGGGGGGAGAGGAGGACAGAGGAAGAGAGGAGGAGGAGGTGAGGAGGAGGAGGAGGAGGAAGAGAGAGGAAAGGAGGAGGAGGAGAGAGGAGGGGAGGAGACGAGAGAGGAGCAGAGAGGAGGAGGAGGAGAAGAGGAGGAGAGGAGGAGAAGGGGAGAGAGAGGAGAGGAGGAGGAAGGAGAGAGAAAAAAAGGGGGCGAGGAAGCGAGATAGGAGGTAGACGTGAGAGGAAGGAGGAGAGGGGAGCAGGAGGATGCAGGAGAGGAGAGGAGGAGAGCAGGAGGAGGGGGAGGAAGGAGGAGGAGAGGAGGGGAGGAGGAGGAGGGAGAGAGGAGGAGGAGGAGGAGTAGGAAGGAGGAGGAAAGAGGAGGAGAGGAGAGAGGAGGAGGAGAGGGAGGAGGAGGAGGGGGAGGGCGGGGAGGCAAGGGGCTGGTTGGTGCGGCGTGGAGGAGCAGGATTGGGATGAGGGGGAGGACCTGAGCATGTTCAGAGGTCGTCTTTGGATGGACAGCTACTGGGAACCAAAGCCGACCCCAGGTGCGCGGCGCTGGGGCGAGGTGCGCCACGCGTGCCAGGGGCGCCACGCGCGCCAGGCACCCCTGGGGCCCGAGCGTGCCAGGCACGCCTGGTGCGCCAGATGCGCCTCGTGCTCCGAGTGCGCCGGGTGTGCCGCGCACTCCAGCCGCGCCAGGTGCGCCATGTTCGGGGCACGTGCAGAGTGCCCCAGGTGCGCCTGCGCACGTGACAGCACACATCGGGAAACATGTCGGCCCCCTCCATCCCTAACGAAAACCACTGCCCATCGTTGTGCTTGGTGGGCCTGCGCACAGCAGGCCACGCGCCACCGCCCCGGCGGCCCCTGTCAAAAACACTTTGACAGTGATTGCGGGATGGCCGCGAATGATCCAGATTTAGCCGCGAGGTGCATGTTGTATTGTTTTTGTTCAAGGATGGTAGCCCTGCGCACGGCAGGGAAATTGCTGGCACCCCCGCCGTCTTTGTCAAAAACAGTAGCAAGTGTTCGCGGGCCTCACGAACATGACTCCAGAGTCTGCCCCAAAGTGTACTTTGCATTGTTTTTTGACAGGGATGGGGGGGGCGCATCGGGTTGGCCGCGCATGCTCCAAATGTGGAGGCAGCGTTTGTGTTCGTATTGTTTTTTTGGTAGGGATGGTGGGGGGGGATCGGCATGGTGTCGGCATGGTTCTTGGTTGGACGCCGGTCGCTTGGGGGAGGGGGTGCATTGAGAAGGAGCAGTAATAGACCCTTCCCCGAAGGGGAATAAGGGGGTTGGAAGAGGAGCGGCCCTAGACCACCTACGCACAGAGGGAGGAGGAGGAGGAGGAGGAGGAGGAGGAGGAGGAGGAGGAGGAGGAGGAGGAGGAGGAGGAGGAGGAGGAGGAGGAGGAGGAGGAGGAGGGAGGAGGAGGAGGAGGAGAGGAGGAGGAGGAGGAGGAGGAGGAGGAGGGAGGAGGAGGAGGAGGCGGAGGAGGAGGAGGAGGAGGAGGAGGAGGAGGGCCTCGGATAAGGGTTACTATACGGGCCGGGTGGGACCAGTTGGTGGGACCCGTTGGTGGGACAGTGGACCAATACGGTAAGGTCATCGAATACAGTCGGGGCGCTGAGGAAGGAACCCTTTTTTTGTTGGGGAGGGGCTCGGTGTTCCTTACATGTTTCACAGCTTGCCTCAGGTTTTCCTTCTGTTTTCGATGGGAAGTCGAAGTTCAACTTATGGAAAAAAGAGGCCTCGTTCCTTATTTAGGGTTCCTTAGGTCCAGGCCCCGACTGCAAGGAACCCTTAGATAAGGAGCCCAGGGTCTGGAAGCCGGTCGAACTCTAACCGTGGACTGGTCATGGATGTCACGGCCGCCCTCGTCAGATCAGGAACCCTCCAGGATCTGAAGCCTCCGGGGCACTCTCCTCAACCAACGCCCCCGCCGTAATTGGTCCTGGGGAGGAGGAGGAGGAGGAGGAGGAGGAAAAGGAGAGGGAGCAGAATGAGCAGGAGGGATCACCTCCCAGTCGGCGTCGTCGGCGTCACCAGGGTCGTACAGTGGGGGCCCATGCCAAGAAACACCCTGCTTGCCTCCAGGGTGCCCTAGGTTTCTTGGATGTCGATGGTTTTGCCATGTAAAGCGTGGCGTTCCCATGCCAAAAATCAATGGACGTCCTGGGATTCCAGGGTTGGGTTTCTTGTGAAAGGTTTCTTATGGTCGGGCCCCTACTGTATGCGTCGGCGTCGTTGGCGTCACATTCGTCGGCGTCGTCTGCGTCGGCGTCGTCGTCCTCGTCGTCGTCCTCGTCGTCGTCCTCGTCCTCGTCCTCGTCCTCGTCGTGGTCCTCGTCACCGTCCTCGTCCTCGTATTCGTCGTCGTCGGCGTCGGCGTCGGCTTCGGCGTCGGCATCGGCGTCGTTGTCGTCGTCGTCGTCGTCGTCGTCGTCGTGGTCGTCTGCGTCGGCGTCGGTGCCAGCGCCGCCGCCGCCGTCGTCGCGCGGCGGGAGGAACCCGACGCACGGCTTCCAGAGCGAGTTCGGCATGGAGCGCCTGCGCAGCCGGCGGGGGTCCTTCCCGCGCTGGGTTCCGGGCCGGTCGCCGCAGGAGGAGGAGGAGGAGGAGGAGGAGGAGGAGGAGGAGGAGGAGGAGGAGGAGGGGGAGGAGGGGGTCCGTAGCCATTTTGGCTCAAGGGGCCTGCTCCTTAACTTCCCAACTTCGGCTCGAGGAGCCCAGTGTGCTGTGCGGGGGGCCACGGCCTCATTCCTTCGGTCCGTGCGCGGGGGCGCGCGGCGATGCCAGCGCATGGCTCTCGTGTCGGGAACTGGGCGTGTGGAGGTTGCGGGTGCAAATCGAACAAGTACTGGTGGACGTGGTGCAAGCACTGCGGCCGTCAGTGGTCAGGCCCTGGGAGTGTGCAACCAGTCCAGGCGGGTGCCAAGGGGGTGCGGGGTGGCTCTCAGTCCGCTCCTCCTGGTCCTGGTCGTGTGCAGGCTCCTGGCGATTGGTCTTCGCCCTCCTCTACTCCAGGAATTCAGGGGGGTCCTAGCAATGATGATATCCAGTCAGTCATGCAGCTCCTTGAGGCCAAGTCTGACTTCGAGGCAGCAGCAAAGTATGAGGACGAGCTTCGCGCCTTCGACCCCCCGCCCAAGTTGCGGTGGGGGCCGGCGACGCAGGAAATGGAGAGGTGTCAGGCGGCGTTGGGCAAGTCTGTGCGCAAGGCCAATAACCTCCAGGCAGCCCTGGACCAAGCCAGCAGCAGCGTTCCTGGCCCTGGCAACAGCTAAAGCTAACTATGCCACAGCAGTGAGTGATTTCGCCTCCACAGTTCAGCCCCAGCCCCAGCCCCAGCAGCCAGTCAAGCCGACCCTGTCCCTGGAACAACTTATGGACGGTTGTCTTGAAGGGGGTCAGTTGGATGATGGTGGCCTGTTTGGGCTTGAGGAGGTGGGTTGGGAGCCGTCTCAGGAGGAGAGGAGGAGGAGGAGGAGGAGGAGGAGGAGGAGGAGGAGGAGGAGGAGGAGGAGGAGGAGGAGGAGGCAGCGAGCAGGAATGAGCAGCTCGCTTCGGCCTTCAAGGAGGCTGCGGTCCAGGCTTTCGGGGTGTTCCGTGAGCAAGCCTAGTCTGCCGTGGCCCAGCAGAAGAGCTCAAAGCACGTCGTGTTGCTAAGAAACGCCGCGCTGATGAGGGCAGTGTGTGTGTGTGTGTGTGTGGGGGGGGGAGTGAAGGTGTGCCTGGTGTTGGTGCTGATCCTGGGCCCCCCTCAGAGCCAGCAGCAACAGCAGCAGCAGCAGCCTAAGCCCCAGCAGATCCACCAGCCTCAGCAGCGGCGGGCCCCCCTCCCTCTGCCCCCGACCCAGGGGCCCCCAAGTCCACTGAGGAGCTCTTTCGGGCGGCCTGCGCCGTCGCCTCGAAGGGCGCAGGTAAGGCTGGGGGCAAGAAGGCAGGAGGGCAGAGGTGGCAGGAGGAGGCGGCGCCAAGGCAGCGGCAGCAGCAGCAATAGCAGCAGGAGCGAGGTCCGCGGGCGGAGGGGTCCCTCAAGGCCCCCAGCAGCGGCTTTGACCGCGCCGCGGGAGGCGGGAAGCCCGCGGCCGCCGCGGCGGCAGACGGGCTCGACAAGGATGAGATTGTGATCGTGCTGACAACGAACTCCAGCGACTGGCGCAACTGTCAGAAGTTTTTCGAGAGAGAGAGAGAGAGAGAGAGAGAGAGAGAGAGGCCGCAGGCGCGGCCGCTGTCCTCGTTCAGGAGATAGGAGTGAGCCACCCCGCCAAGGATGAGTGTGAGGCTAAACTGAGACGTTGGGCATGGTCGACCAAACTCAGTCCTGTTAGACCCACAGGCGGGGGGGCTGTCTTCTGGAGTTGGGATCGCCGTGCCCAAGCATGTGGGTATGTCTCAGGCGCCGTGGCAAGGACCCCCCCTTCCCTCGGCGCCGCGGGTCACGATGATTTGAATCAGCAGCATTGTATCAGGAGGTTTGTTGGCGATTTCGGCTTACCCTCCGACTGGCGACCCGCTCGGGGATATCGGATCGCAGATTCTGTTTCGTCTGGGAGAAGTGTTCCATGCCCTCAATTTGCCGCATAGCATCGGAGGAGACTGGAACTGCCCCCCCTGCTCAACTCTGCCAGTTGAGTTGGGCGGGTAGGCTGGGAGGTCATATTGCATCGTCAGGAGAGGCAACATGCAGAAACAGGGTAAGACTTGGAAGGGGGCTGGATTATTTCGTTGCGTCCTCGGGGCTGGCGCCGCCCATTGTCTCCGTCGAAGTGGTCCATGACGCCGCCGTCTCCCCGCGCTACCCTGTCGCGCTCAAGTTGAAGTCTCCCCTGGTCCGACTTGTGTGCCCCGTGCTGTCAGGTCCCAGGAGGTCCCCCTTGGGGGGCCCTGCTCTCTCTCTCTCTCTCTCTATATCTCTCTCTCTCTCTCTCTCTCTCTCTCTCTCTCTCTTTCTGCCTGGGCCGCCAGACTGGAGCCCCGCTGAGGGCGTGGTCCTGCGGCGGGGGGCGGGGCCAGGGAGCAGTGGGCAGCAGGGGCTGGGCCGAGTGAGTGGCATGGTCTTTGGTGTCGAAGGGGCGGAGTTGATTGCAGCTCGCGGCCTGCAGGGGCCCGATGAATGCAGGCATCGAGGTCGAGGCAGAGGGTGGAAGTTGAAGGCGATGCCAAAACTCCAGGCCAGTGGAGCGCCGTGCGCGCTGTCTTACGTCAAGGCTAGAGGATGGAGGAAGGTTTTGATCAGTTTCCTGGAGCCTGCTTATGTCGCGCGCCGCGAGGAGGGCAGCTTCCCGCAGCACTGCATGGGGCTGATCTCCAGGATCGCGTTCAGCATGCCACCCGATGAAGACCTTGGTTTCTGGATTAGGTGGTGCCCCACCTTCGAGGGCATCCTGGCCTTGTCTGTTGATCAGTTGGAGGCCTATTCGAGTGGGGCCGCCTACGTTACATCGCTACTGGAGCAAGCCTTCACTGGTCCGCGGCTCGGCGCGGAGGAAATGGGTACCGGATGCTCGCGACAAGGGGGCTGGAAAGGCCCACCGCTTCACGAAGACTCCGGTTGGTTGGCGCCCCTCGGCCGCGGGCCCCGAGGGGGCCCCGCTGGGGTTAGGAGCTCAGGCGGGCGCCTTGCAGCAGGGGCGGGGTCAGTTTTGGGGTGTGCCCGCCGCCGCAGAGAACGCTTCCTGCTGCGAGAGTTCGTCGGCCTCTGATGACCCTGCTACGTCTATTGCAGCGCTGCTGAGAGGTGAAGGGATCGACCCGCAGGAGGCTGCTAGCACCCCGCCCTTCGATGGTTCAACCATTCGCAGGGTCGCCACAGGTCGTTCAAGGAGCGCACGGCTGCAGGGGTCGACAGGTTGAGTCCGCGTGATCTTTGTTGGCTCTGGGGCCGCTGCCTCACCATCCTTGGGCTCTTGTGGCATTGAATGCTCGACGCGGGTCGTGCCCCCTTCCCAGGCCCCCCTCATCATGATCGCCATGTTGGAAAAACCAGAGGGCGGCTTCAGACCCATCGGCTTGCTGGCGACGTTTATGGGAGCGCGGTCTCGTGCTGCTCGGTCGGTCGCTCGCGATTGGGAGTTGTCGCATAAGAGAGATTATCTGCATGGGCGCTCGGGCGCGCCGTGTGAACGCGGGGTCTGGGGCCAGGCCCTCGCTGCAGAGCTGGCCCGGGCTGCAGGCACATGCTCGGGGGAAGGTTCCATTGATCATTCGGAGGCCTACGACCGCGTGATGCATGGCAGATTGACTGCCGCAGCCAAGGCTTGGAATTGCCATTTAAATTTCTTGAGGCTTTTGATGCGTCTAGACAGGTGCCCTCGTCTGCTCGTGGTGGGCCAAGTCGCATCCTGCCCTCTCATCGTGCTCCAGACGATTGTTGCTGGGTGTGGGTTTGCTACGACTTTGCTTAACTGCTGCTGATGACGACGCTAGATAGTTCAGTGCACAGATTTCCGCATGCAGCACGAGTGTTCAACGTCGTTGACGACATCACGCCTGGAATCCGTGGCGCAGTTCAGTTCGTGACGACGCACCTCCGGTCTGTGGTGGGATATGCCTGCTGATTGCTGGAGTCGCTGGATTTGGTATTAGCCAGGACCAAGGCTAAGCTTGTGCCCGCGCATCAGTATGTGGTGGTGCAAACTGTTCGGGGCCTCAAGTAGTGGGGCTTCCCGGGAGCCCCATGCGGTCTGGAATCTTGGCGTCGACTTCTCCTTGGGAACGTCCCGCGGGAACCCCGCGCAGCGCGCCAGAGTGAGCAGGCTCCGCAAGAGGGCTCATAGGTTCTGCGGGCCCCGCTTAGCCTTCGCTAAGCTGACCAGGATCGTCCGTGCAGGGGCCAACCCAGCAGGGCTGCGCGGCGCCTCAGTCGTGGGAGCGCAGGACCGTATCCTCAAGCAGTTGCGCGCCTCGGTCGGGGAGTCGATCTTCGGGGCGGCCAGGGGCAGGAGTCGGACCATCGGCTTCACGCTGTCGCCCGCGCCCCTGTCCGAGCCCACCTTCGTTGCCAACTTTGCTCCGCTCGCCTTCTGGGCGGCTGCTGTCAGACATAGGTGGGTCTCCGAGGGGGACATGGTCTTGGTGTTCGAGTCGCTTAGTAAGGGAGGAGAGCCCGCCTGGCAGCAGGTTAATGGGCCCACAGGGGCTATGCTGGCTACGCTTCGCAGGCTCGGCTGGGCCCTGCTCCGCTGGGACCGCTGGGAGACGTTTACTGGGCTGGTGGTCGACTTGCGGGAGTACGGGGCCAGGGCGGTCAAGGCTCTGGTGGATGCGGGGGCCAAGGATGCACTTCTTCGGGATCTGAGCATCCGAGGCGAGGCGTTAGGTGCTGGTGATGTGCCGCTGTGCCCGTGCCTTAAACCGCTCCGTGGGGTGTGCCGAGGTTTCCGCGTGTCTGGCAGGGCCCTGGAGGCCTCTCTCCTCGCTGCTGTGGCATCGGGAGGTACGGCCAGCCAGGTTGCCCTCTTCCTGGACTGCCGTTCGATTTCGACTGAGTGCAAGTTGTGCGGGCACCCGTGGGGCTCCAAGCAGCGTGTTCTATATATATATATATATATATATATATAATTGCCTTGCCACGCACGGGTTTAGGCAGAATCTGTGGCTCGATCGTCAGATCCGAGCTGGTGCCCGTGCTGTTTCGGCTGAGTGGCGCTTGTTCTCCACGAGCGGCCTCATGGCGTCCCCATCAGGTTTTCTCCAGTGGCCCTGGTGCAGGAGCCGTGGAGGTGACATGTTTTCCCGAGGTCTGGCAAGTTGGTCGACGTGATCTGCTTGGACGGCTCGGCTCTTGACCCGCTCTTCCTTGGTGCTCTCGAGCTGGTTGGTCAGCGATTTTCAGTGACTCCGACTGGCCACATCCTAGGTAGTATGTGCGGCCCCCTTCCGCACCCCTTGCAGACTTGTCTCGGGGGAGAGCTTTGGGCGCTGTACATGGCCCTGCTCAATGCGGACGTGGGGCCTCTTGAAGTTTGAACGGATTGTAAGGTGCTGGTTGACATTTGGAGCTTTGGCCAGACCAGGATATGTCGCGTTTGGCGCTCGCTGAGGTTTGGGTGGGAGAAAGTCTTGGCCAAAGCTGGAGATGCAATCTGGAGCCAGATCCAACTATTCAAGGTCAAATCTCATTTGTCCTGGAGCCAGGCGTTTGCCGAGGGGTGCCCACTCTACGCGTGGAAAGGCAACCAGGAGGCCGATCGTCTTGCGAACGAAGGGTCCCTGCTGCAAGAGCAGGCCGATCTGCTCCGCAGCTGGCACAGCTCCAGGATGGAAGGAATTAAGCAGGTAGGTCAGTTCCTTGGGATGTTGGGAGAGCTGTCTCGGGGGGGGGGGGGGCTCAAGGATGTCGAGCGCTGCAAGGGCAGTGGCAAGGCTCTGAAGGCCCTCCGAGATGTCCCTCAGCTTGAATTAGTCGCCAACCCCAGCGGACACACGATCAGTAGAGAGGGTAAGAGTTTCGTCTGTGAGTGTTGTGGAGGCGGGGGCAGGTCCAGAGTCCAGAGGTGCACTGGCGGCCTTCCCCTGCCCTGGCATCCCCGTAATTGATGCGACGGCGCAGCCGTCACACGTTCCCTGGATGGGCTTTGGACCTTCGGGGACGGTGGTGTGGTGTCGAAGATGCGCAGCGTTCGCGGTCATCCGCTCACGCTACTTGAAAGACAGGTGCAATCAGCACACCCGCACTGCGGGGGCTGAGAAGTCCCTCGCCTTACTCCTCGCGAGCAAGGACCCCAGCTCGAGGCCAGTGTTCGGTCGGAGTATCTTGGTCCAGCGCGGGAGGTAGGGTCCTCGGCGCTGGCCTGGTGCATCGCGCTGCCCTCGACCCTTTCTTCCTTTTTGCCGCGGGTCTTGCACTGCAGGATCCGTGTTCTAGGTGAAACTTGTGAAACAGGTGGAGGAGGAGGAGGAGGAGGAGGAGGAGGAGGAGGAGGAGGAGGGGAGGGAGGAGGAGGAGGAGGAGGAGGAGGAGGAGGAGGAGGAGGAGGAGGAGGAGGAGGAGGAGGAGGAGGAGGAGGGGAAGGGGGAGGGGGCTCCTTCCCGTCCTCTGCTGCCTCCCCCCCAGAGATCCGGCGCTCCAGCAAAAATCGCAACGACGGATTTTGAACCGTTCTCGGCCTCCGGGGGCCCTCGCCGGGCCTCGGGACCGTCAAGCAAAAGAAAATCGCGACGGAAAGTTGACCCTGGGGAAGTGGTCCAGACCTCTGGCGCCCACGCGTCGAACAAATGGGGCAGCCGGATGCCAGGGCCCCTCCGTCTGCTCGTCTGCCTCCTCACCTCCTGCCTCCGCTCCGCAGAGGCTGCGCTCCGCTGCTTCGGGGTCGGCAATCTCTCATCCCTCCCCGCCCCTTGTTCGGCTGCGCGGGAGGGTGACCCTTCGCCAGAGTAATCTCAGGAGGGAAAGAAACACACAGACACAATTAATCGTCGACTCCCAGGAAAGTATGCAAAAATATGGGAAGTGGTGGGGAAGACAAAAACCCAGAAAATATGGGAAAATATGGGGGATATTTTTATTTGTGTGTATTTATTTGTGTGTTCCAGTTCCCCTTCATAATCTGCGTGGTGCGGGCCCGAAGGGGAAGTGTCGGCATCAGCCGGCGCGCTTGGACCTGGCCCTGCCGCCGCCCCCCGATGCCGCGCACCAGAGGTCACGTTTAATTACCCAGGATCGCTCCTGCGTGTAGCCGGCCCTGGGTGGGGGGGGGGAGGAGGGGGAGGAGGGGAGGAGAGGGAGGAGAGGGAGGAGGGGGAGGAGGGGGAGGAGGGGCGGAGGAGGGGCGGAGGAGGAGGAGGAGGAGGAGGAGGAGGAAGAGGAGGAGGGGGCGGAGGAGGAGGAGGAGGAGGAGGAGGAGGAGTAGGAGTAGGAGGAGGAGGGAGGAGGAGGAGGAGGAGGAGGAGGAGGAGGAGGAGGAGGAGGAGGAGGAGGAGGAGGGGGAGGGGATGGAGCAGGAGGAGGAGGAGGAAGAGGAGGAGGAGGAGGAGGAGGAGGAGGAAGAGGAGCTGCCGGGGGTGTGGGTGGCCAGGGGGCGCTCGCCTTCTTCGGATTCGGGACGCTGGAGTCGAAACTGCGCCTCTCCCGTTGTTCCTGCCCTCTCTGCACGACTGTGCCTGCCGAGACGTTCCAAAATGTTCCCTCCCCACTTGCCAGGGACTCGTACAAGAGCGGGGGTTTTTTCTAAGGTGGGGTCAGGGACGAACCCGGAATGCTCACAGTTCTTTCCTCCAGGATTTAAGGCGATCTTCCTCCCAACTCCACCTCTGCCCCCACACCACCTTTACGTCCCCCGGACCTCCCTCCCTCCGCGCGGCTCTTGGGGATGGGCGTCGCAGGAGGTATCGCCTCCTACCGCCCCTGTCCTCCTCTGTCACTGGTCGTTCGTCCCCCCCCCCATGGGCCCTGCGTTTCTTTCCTCTCCCCTGTCGCCTCGTCGTTCGTTCCCCCCTCAGGGCTCGTGTCGTCGTCGTCGTCGTCGTCGTCGTCGTCGTCGTCGTCGTCGTCGTCGTCGTCGTCGTCGTCGTCGTCGTCCTTCGGATCTTGTGGGCTGGCGCGGGTTGAACAGACGCCCTCACTTATCCCAGGAGGTCACGCTTGCAGCACCTCGGGGTCTTTGATGAATCACATCCCTCTACTTGTTGCTCCACATCATCGGCTTCCTCTGGCACCTGCCCCCCAGTAGCAAAGAGTGCCGCCCTTGGTCGCCAGCGTGAAGCTGCACGTCCATGTCAGCCTGCCCCATCGTCGCCTCTCGCCCCCTTCGGGGCCGAGCCTGGCGAGCGAAGTCGAGACACATCGACAGCGCGCATCGAAACACGCGCGCCGCTGCACTGGCAGCGCCCAGATGGCGCCGCCCGCAAGAGCCGAAAGCCGACGCACCGACGACAGCGACGACGCCGACGACGACTACGACGACGGCGAAGACGACGACGACGACGACGACGACGACGACGACGACGACGACGACGACGACGACGACGACGACGACGACGACGACGACGACGACGACGACGGCGGCGGCGGCGGCGGCGGTGGCGGCGGCGGCGGCGGCAGCAGCAGCGGCTGCGGCGGCGGCGACAACAACGGTGGCGTCCTGCTGCCCCCTCCTGCTTCACGGACGAGGCCGTTCCCTCCTTGCCTGGCGCCTGCCAGGCGGGGAGGCTCGCGGTCAGCTTGCACTTCAGTGCGGGGAGGGAGAGAGAGAGAGAGAGAGAGAGCGAGAGAGGATACATTCGTTTATATATAATTATATATATAAGAGGGAGAGAGAGAGAGAGAGAGAGAAGGAGAGGCAGAGAGAGGGAGAGAGGGAGAAAGGAAGAGAGACATCGAGAACGACACAGGGAAAAGGAGACAGAGAGAGAGACTAGGAACATATGTACATATATACACACATACAAGGCAGCATTGGCATTTCGTGCCATGCAACGTGCAGGCATAATGAGAGAGAGGTATATCAAACAAGACAGCGACCGTTTTTTGTTGCCAGTTTCGCCATCACCGTTATCGCTTTGCTGTTCCTTCTCCTTCCCTCATGTGTCCTGTTCCGTTTCCTCTTCCTCGTTCTCGCCTTGATTGCCTTGCGAACCCGTTCCCGTCTTCCTCAGATTTGCTTGCGGAGGCTCCTCCGAGGCGGGCTTCTGGAGGACTTCGCGACAGCTTTTCGGGAGCTCCTTGGGCGCCTCTGGAGACGTCCCCGGCGCCTCTCGGCGGCCTCTAGGGGGGGTCCTCGGGCCACTCTGCCCCGAACTGTGGCTTCGGGTCACGGTTTGATGCTTCTCGGTGACGTCATGGAGCAACTTTGGCCCGTCACGGGGCCCTCTGCGGGCAGTTTCCGAGCCCTCTTGGGCCGTCCTGGGGCTCTCTTGGACTGTCAGGAAGCTTTTTTGGTCGTCTTCGAGCGGTTTTCGGAGCCTCTCGGGCGTTCTCGGACGCCCAGAAGACCGAGTCCCCGAGAAGCCAACATCATATGATTAGCTTGACGAAGGGCCCAACCACATGCAGTTGTGAGTACCGCAGTTGTTGGTATCGTCGTCAGTGGAGCTCCCTATGGGGCAACATGGGGCCACGAAACGCTGTACTGGGCGGGTGACACATGCGAACCATGCCACTGGGGCCTTCGGTGGAGCTCCCTGTGGGCCACGAGACGCTGTATTGTGTCGGGGAGACGCATGTGAACGGGTCCATTGGGGCTTTCGGTGGAGGCGCGGTCGAAAATCTGTGCCACCTGGTCCCCGCCTGACAGGCTTGGCCGAACATCTGTGCTACTCGAGCGGCGTGGTCGAAGATCTGTACCTCCTGGCCTCCGTTTGACAGGCGTGGTCGAACATCTGTGACACTTGGCCGAAACCGTTGGCATTGGGAGCAGGGCCGGTCTTGGACCACGCATGGACTGGTACTGGTCGCCGGTCTGGGAAAGAGGGGGAGGAGGAGGAGGAGGAGGAGGAGGAGGAGGAGGAGGAGGAGGAGGGGGAGGAGGAGGGGGATGAACATCTATGTAATATTATTGATAAAGGAGGATGAGGGGGAAGATGA